TAATGGTCATGGTGTTTGTCACAGTAACAGAAAACACACTAGGATGTGGCTTTTAAGAGACCATTAGACGACATAAGGAGGCTGAAGTCCCTGTAGTGACAGTGTTACATGTGTTACATGTAACTGATCAAGAAAGGCTTAGATTCAACCCTAAACAGTATGGAAAACCCACCATGAAGCACAAAGCCTCTTGTGGAGGCCTCCTGTCCATTTACCCTGCTGTGGTGGGCAATAGGTCACAAGGAATTCACTGTACACATAAACCAATCAGAGCTTCTCTCCTGCCTTGGAGGCAGTACATTCATTCTCTGAGGGCTGAGGGCTCCCATCCTTGGAGGTAAACCTCTGCCCGTCCCCCCCTCATGAGCAGAACTTAACTAGGTCCAAAAATCGCAGTCCTGATTACAGAGAGCTCAGGCTGCTGGTCTCAGCCTCCAGCCTCCTCCCTTCGCTCTGGGGAAGTGGAAACAGAACAGGAAGTCCACCTCTCAGGCATGCAGTTCTCAAGAATCAACGCCCTCAAAGTGGGACACCTCTGGTTCTCATTTCTTTCTCTTAAGGGCCACAGGGTGCTCCGGTGGTGGTGGTGGCGGCGGCGGCGTGTGGCCTCCTCACTCTGCTCCTTCCTGACTCTCCCCTGCAGCCCCCCCTCCCCTGCTAGGCTGGCCCCGTCCACCACCAGCACCACCAGACCTGCATTTCTGCTTCAGGGTGGTGGCTGTGCATTTCTGACATGAAGCCTCCTTAGAGCCACGCAGGTCCTGCAGAAGGAATAACTAATATCTGTATCAGTGGGAAGTCCTGATTTCTGGTTGCCCAGGGATTCTGTTGAGCACCCCTAATCTGGAAATCTGAAATGTTCCAAAATCCAAATCTTTTGAGCATCAGCATGCCCTACATTGGAATATTTCACATTTTAAGATTTTTTCCACATTAGGAATGTTAGGCCAGTAAACTCTATGTAAATAGTATTTCTAAATACACCTCCCAACCCCTGAAGTTGGAAATGCTCCTTGTCTGCATCCTTTTGGATACCGGATGCTCGGTCTAGCAAAGGAAGGTCTGCGCATTGGGTGTAGGGGAAGAAAGTGGTTTTGAGGAGAGGGGTGTGGTCAGCATGTCACAGGCAAGACTGTGGGAGTGGGTGGAACCGCTTAGCGCTTAGCATAGGAAGCAAGCTTTCAGAGGAAACTGGGAAGGGTCGTGTGGTGTCTCTCCCTAACACACCCCCCCCCCCCGCCCTCCCCGGCCCCCCAGCAGCAAAAGGGGGCGGGGTCTAGTCCTGGAGTCTAAGCAGAATCTGTTTGTCAGTTCCTAGGCAATGGAGGTCAAAGAAGAGAAGTTAGAAATTTCTTAACTAAACTAGGTAACCTCGAGTCTCTTTCGGCAAATCATTGACAGAATCATATGCTTGCTCCTATTACGTTTCCTGTCTACAATGTGTGCTCAGGAGAGAGCCATGTTGCACTCTTATCAACTCTGTGTCCCTGTAAGGCTTGGCGTGACCGACGTGTGCTCATCATATCTTAGTCAATTTGATCAGAAACGAAAAGCCACGCTCTTTTTGAAAACAAAAGCTGGTAGGGACCACAGTTTGTTTGCTGTTTCTCTTTAGAGCAGTGGTTCTCAACCTTCCTAACGCTGTGACCTTTTAATATACAGTTCCTCATGATGTGGCGACCCCCCCCCAACCATCAAATGATTTTGTTGCTTCTTCATAACTGTATTCTTGCTACTGTTATTAATCATAATGTAAATATCTGGTGTGCAGGATGGTCTTAGTCAATCCCTGTGAAAGGGTCGTTCAACCCAAGGGGGTCATGACCCACAGGCTGAGAATGGGCTGTGCTTAGTGTGTCTACTCATGCATCAGGGGAGGACTCCACACTCCCCTACAGTGAGAGCGTCTCCGGAACAGCGTGGCACAACACCATCCCTTCTGTTCTTAACGTGGATAGAACCTTTGTAATATTCAGCCCACTTTTTTTTTTTTTTTGCTGCTGTTGAATTATTCATTTGCATTTAATTTGTTTCTGTTTGGTTGGGGGTGGGGGTGTAGGCATGCCACAGTACCCGTATGGAGGTCAGAGGACAAGTGATAGGAGTCAGGTCTCTCCTTCCACCACGTGGACTCCAGGGTTTGAACTCAGATCATTAGGCTTGGCAGCAAAAGCCTTCATCCACGGAGCCATCTTGTCAACCCTTTAGTCAACCACGTCTTTTCTCATGAATCTGACATATTAAAATAGTCGTGGTAAGTAAGACCCAATCTGTCGGAACGGGGGAATGCAAATATGGACACTGACGTTAAATGTCACTAATTGATGACAATTAACAGCACACTCACTTATATTAAAATCCCTAGGTCAGTGAACTTGAGATAGAATTTCAAAATTATCCTTAGGAAGATTACACCTGTTGATCCACGTTACACATCTATGCATGCATTTATTTGTTTGTTTTTAAATTGTTTTGAGACAAAGCTGAAGCCCAGGCTGGCTTTGAACTTATGATCCTCCTGGCTGGCCATACTCGGCTTGATCCACATTTTAGAAAACACCACCAGGGACATCCACCCGATGAGCAGCCAGTGCTACTTCTTCCTGGATACCCAGTCCTTCTTTTCTCCTTCTGACTCCGAAGGAAGGAAGCCTGAGCCTGTGAGGAGCAGCGTCTGTGTGGGGCTGAAGTCCATGGGTTTCCATGGACTTCCAGTTACTCTTTTCAACCTTTCTTAACAAATGAAGGGAAAGCCCTTTGATGTTTAACCCTGGCATGCTGACTTTGGGTTCCCCACAGTGCTCAGGGCAGCGACGACATCCAATCAACAGTCCACGAAGGCTCCTTTTATATACGTACTCACGTGCTGAATAGTATTTGGAAGAAAAGGGAAAGGCTGATATAACCATGGTCACTGGACTCTCCATGGCCATATGATGGCCTGGCTTTCTTCTTCATGGAGACAATGGCGGGTGGCAGAACATCGTAGAGAGCAGATGTTAGTTTGGCCCCGTAAGACACATGCCTCTTCCTGCCTATTGATTTCGATGAGAACTAAGGCCTGGGACAGAGATGACATCAGAGCTGGTTGCCTCCATTCTCCCCCTGCTCCTCCAGATCACCTGATGGGATCACACTTCTCCACGTGGCCTGTTCTAGCCAAACAGCATGCGAGCCATCTGTGTCCTCTCTGGAGTAAACCTTTTAGAGCTGGTATCAGCTGCATCAAGTCCCCTCCCCTCTCCCCTTGGGGTAGCAGCAGCGTTCAGAGGATGGCTCCATCAGCCTGTGTTTTTGAGTGAGAACAGTTGAAGCTTCCCATGATCAAGGTGGACATGCTGCTTGGGAGATGGTTGCCATCCCAGGGTAGTAGATCATGGAGCATGGTTGGCCTCCTTGGTTTTTATCTGAAAAGATAAGCCTATGAATTGAACATGTTGCTCCTTGTTAAGATCATTAACCAGAGGTTGTAAATCAACCCAGCTCTGTAGAAAATAGACTGAGCTGGATTGGGCATGTGAAGATTGTACAGTGCCATGGAACTGTCAAAAGTACTACTGTAGGAGTCACTTCCTCGAAGTTTCCGGGGCCATCAGATTGCATCTCTCCCGCACAGAACAACCTTTCCTTCTCAGTCAGCTCTTCTCAGTGGCCCTTCCCACCCTAAAGGAGTCCCAGATCTACCGTTTAATCCACTGTGCTGCCATCTTAAACTGTCATGTCTGGGGCTAGAGAGATGGCTCAGTGGTTCAGAGCATGTACTGGTGTTGTAGAGGACCCAGGTCCAATGCCTCGACTACAAAAACGACCCATGTTCCTGCCGGCTACTCCTTTATCAGCCATGGCTTTGGCCCACATCTGGCCTTGACTTCTAGATAAGCTCGAGATACTTGGTCGTAGGGTTGTCCCCACTTCCTGACACAGCCACTCCAACCTAAGGCCTTCCTTTTTTGGATAGGTCCCCAAACCACGGAACTTTTGGTTCTCATCTGTTTGCTCCTCTTCCTCAGGAAGTAACACCCATGGGCTCCAGGTGTATTCCAGCTGTGTGTATTGGAGGTCGCTGACTGCTTTCCCACTCTCTCCGAGGTTGCCATGTGTGCTTCGTGAGACTTACTACATCCTCTCAACAGAGGAAGAACGGACATTCCGAGATTTTAAAATCGCCCCCCAGTGGGGGAGGGGTGGCTGGCGGGATGGCTCACTGATTAAGAGCTCTTATTGCTCTTCCACAGGACCTAGGTTCAGGTCCAGCACCCACGTGGCAGCTCACATCTGCCTGTAACTCCAGTTCCAAGGGAATCTAGCATCTTCTTCTGATCTCCGCACAGGGTGCACATACACATGAAACAAAATAACTAGTTACATAAAATTGTAGTAAATATTTCTTTAAAATCTCCACAGCTAACACATCCCCACTAGGAAGTCTTTCCTTGTGTCCTTCCTGGGAAGTCCTTTCTTCTCTCTCGCGTTGTTTTGGCAGATGCTCGCTGGGTCCATCCATATGCTACGGTGAAATGCAACCCTAGCAACCCTCGTGTGTGACCTTGCACTTTTTGGTGTTTATTTTATTTTTATATATTTTATTTATTTATAAAATGTTTACTTATAAAATGAAATTATATATAATATATGCATATACATACACACACACACACACACACACACACACACACACACACACACACACACACACATTCCTGCTTTGTACAGGAGTCTTGCGATGTAGTCCCGGCTGTTCTCGAACTCTCGATCCAGCTGCCAAGGCGACCCACGTGAGGCTCGGCAGCTCTTCAGTTTCTACCCTGAAACACTTGGCAGAACCTGCGCGGAGCTGCAAGGGTCACCCAACCTGCCCGGCTGTTGGGGGAGAGCCAGCCGGGCCTCCGGGGGCGGGCGCAAGAGAGTGACGCTGCAGTAGACCAATCCCTGCGGGGGCGCCGGCCGCGGGACCCAATCACAAGCGAGCTAGGGAAGGGTGACAGCTCGGGCCGAAGATCTCTATCTCCGGGCTCCCGTGATGATGCTCGACTGCCGAGTCACTACCAGGGCCCCAAGACCGAGACTGCGGCGGCGTGGGGAGCAGCCGGGACTGAGTCCGGGGCCACTAGAGACCGGGAGGTGCGCTGCGCTCATCTCTCTTTGCCTTCAAACAGGGCTCCAGTGTCGCGTTCCAAGGACGTCCCCCTGTTGCGTCCAGCTCCACCTCGCTGTCCCCAGCTGGGGAGCCGCGCTGGAAAGCCGGGGGCGCTGCGCCCCTCACGGGTAACTGAGAACCCAGTCCTGAAAACGGTCCTACCTGCGCCTAGCCAGGCAGGAAGACTGTAACCGCGGGGTGAGTTTAGAAAACGAAAACAGAAACTCCCCTTCCGATCGGGAGCTGCTTTCTGCAAGGCCCTTCACCCGCAGCCAAATAATAACAGTTGCGTAACCTTCGGGTTCCCGGGGAACTTCATTGTTTACCTCGTGGGAACCAGCCCGTGCTATTATTCGGCGCAGCGCTGTGAGCACTGAGTAAGCAGAGCCCGGGAGAACTTAGTCCTGAGAGAGCTCAGTCCGCTCCCTGGAGAGGTGCAGGGGGGACCCTCTCCCGGCAAGGGCACTCTCAGAAATCTGGAAGTCTCTCTTTGCTTACTCATGTTTATGACACATTGCTCCAACTTCCCCATCTTTGAGAGTTTAGCCTCTGGGATAAGGAATCAACTGATGAGTTCTCTCCCCGTCCCCCTCCCTCCCTCTAACAAACAGACTCCACCTGCCCACCTGAGCAATATGAAGATTTCATTCATCGAGCCCGCCATTCTCCTAAACGCGTTTGCTATGACCCTGACCATCCCGCTGACAGCGCAGTACGTGTACCGGAGGATATGGGAAGAAACCGGTAACTACACCTTTGCTTCCGGTAGCAATGTCTCTGAATGCGCGCAAAACAAAAGCGACCCGATCTTTGCATTCCGGGAGGTAAGGAATTAAAACCTCCCATCCGGTAGGCAACAGGGAATGGAAACCAGAGGCTCTCCAGGGTGTGACAATCCCCGCAACCTCCCCGCCCCCCCGCCCCCAAAGCAGCTCAAATCAAAGGCCTTCTCTCAGTTCCCATTTCAGTTAATGGTTCCTCCTGACACCTTTAATCCGCCTCTTTCGAAAATCCCTCCGAGTGTGGGACCAGCTCTTTTCTCCTTAGGAAATCTCACTACAACCTTCATCCACTCTTCGTTGGTCTCTTGAGAACAAAACAAAAGTCTGAAAAATTGGAGCAAGGCCTTTGTCACCCATGGGGGTGGAGCAGCATTTGTTGAGGTCAGGAGGTGGTGACATGAGATAAGTGTTGAGTCACGTGCCCACATCTGGACTGGGTTGTGCTTACTTTGGCTCCCAATCGCCTAAAAATGTTTAGCCCGACATGATGGGGCCTCCCTCAGTTCTGTGGGCGTCTGGCAGAGTTATGTCCACTCTGTTGGGGCCGGAGGCAGTCTGTCCAGAGTGCCGGAGGTGACATCAGACGCTTTCCTACAGTGCCACATTTACAAGCTCAGGTCTGCTCTCCTTGGGGATATTTTGTGGAAATAACAGAGTGGGCTGCTTTCACAGTCACAGAGGAGAGGAGGTTGAGGGCGCTGAGCTGCCTCCCCAATCTGAGGGTCTCTGTGCAGGCAAATGAATCTGAGGTGAGGACATGGCAGAGGGCCCCAAGGGAAAGCCTGAAGCCACCTCAGCTGCCCCAAGGTATCAGGTTAAAGCCGGACAGGACAAGGTCCAGTTGCTTGGCCAACCCTGTCCTTACTTCCTCATGCTGTGGGAGAATTTTCTTGGAACAGACATTTCCGACCGGCCATAGGGCCTGCACAGTCATAAAGAGAAGGGTAGGGGCCGCACCGAACGGTTTACTGCCCTCCACAGAGTGTCTGCTCAGGCCTGTAATCACAATAGTCACGAGGCTGGGGGAGGAGGGTTGTGAGTTCAAGGCCAGCCTCAGCCACCCAGTCTCAAGGTAGCAACAACAACGATACAGTGGAGGAAGGAAGGATAGATAGATGGATGGAAGAAACCAAGATCACGTGACTATGATGCTGTGGTGTCCAAGTTGGATTCCTCAGCTCTAAAAAGAAAAAAAAAAAAAGTGTTAACAATCCATCTCTCGGAGGAGTGAGAACGTCCCAGGGACTTGTCATTTCTCTGCTTGAGTCAGGGATTTCCTTCACGCCTCCCTAGGTGGCAGGAGCAAGTCCCTTGATGCAGTGGGAGGAGCCTGGGGGGAAAGTACAGTGCTGGCCCCTCCAGACCTGGTCACGGACCAGTCCCTACCCCCATCCCCCCCACACACACACAGCCTAGAGCAGTGTGGTCTCATTTCGATTTTAGCCAAACTTTCAATTTGATTGTTTTTCTTTTCTTTTCCTTTTCTGTTTTGTTTTCAATTGGACTGATATTCAAGAGACTGTCCTTATTCCAGGTCTTGTCCCCCAAAGTCAGTGCCCCGAGATTTTTGGTGCTTTCCTGATATGGAGGGAACTAGAGCCACCGTACCTAGCCTTGCCCTGCTGTGTACAGCTGGGACAGGACCGGACAAGAAGGGGCTGACAGCATCACTTTGGCCTAGATCACGTCCTTTTGGACGCTTTCCGGATGCTGCCCTTGTACGGCTTCAGAGAACACCCTCCTCCCTCTGAATCCGAGAGCCTTGTCTACTGCTCAGAGCTTCCATCTCCAGCAGCCAGCTCTGTTGTGTGAGCTTGGCCCCTCGATTTCCAAATGAGGGGGAGCTAGGGGTTTGTGTCCTGGGCACCCTACAAGTAAAGAGCCAGCCCTTGGAGAGGACTAGAAAAACAAAATTTCTTTCTTACCACCCGGCCCCCACTGTCCATTGACTGTCAAATAAGCTTGCGCATTATGACAGGGAGTCCTGTACTGCTCGGCCATATTTGTTTGTCCTTCTTGTCACAGTCTGTGTCTCTGTGGCTGTGATAAAACACTGACCAAAGCCAGGCGGTGGTGGTGCACATCTTTAATCCCAGCACTCGGGAGGCAGAGGCAGGTGGATCTCAATAAGTTTAAGGCCAGCCTGGTCTACAGAGCGAATTCCTGGACAGCCAGGGCTACACAGAGAGAAAGCCTGTCTGGAAGGAAAAAACAAACAAACAAACAAACAAACAAAAACAAAAAACACTGACCAAAAAGCAATTTGGAAAAGGAGAGGGTTTATCTGGCTTACAGGTTAGAGCCCATCATCTAGGGAAACCGAGGCAGAACCTGGAGGCAGGAACTGAAGAAGAGACCACGGAGGCACCCATAGCTTGCTCAACTGCCTTCCTTACGCAACCTAGACTGGCTGCCCAGGGATGGTACCTCCTACAGTCCTGGGCACAGGCCAATCTGATGGAGCTAGTTCCTCAGCTGAGGTTCCCTCCTCCAAGCTGACTCCAGTCTGTCAAGTGGACGGCTGAAGCAGACTCTGACACATCCTAGGAACAAACACACCCACGTGTGCCTGTGTGCAAGCGTGTAAGATACTGTTTTACATTTCAGGGTGTGGAGAGAAGAAATGTAACAAAACTTGGAACGGTGGCACATGCTCTGTAATTCTAGCATCCAGGGGGCAGAGGCAGGAGGATCATGAGTTCAAAGCCAACCTGGGAAACGTGGTGAGACATCCTGTCTCAATAATCCAAGGGCTGAGGCTGTAACTTAATGACAGATAGCTTACTCGGCATGCACACAGCCTTGGGTTCAATCTTTGTCACCCCAAAATAAGTCATAATAAGCCTTATTGTAGTGAACATCTGTAATCTCAGCACTTGGGAGAGAGAAGCAGAAGGGTTACAAGTTCAAGACCAACTCAGGATACGAAAGGATACCTTGTCTCAACATATTAAACATTAATTAAAGAATAAACTACACTCACCTATATTTGTTTATTTGAAAATATATACTTTAATGAAAGTCTTATTTTCCAACCCTTTTTATTAACATACACACACACACACACACACACACACACACACACACACACATCTTAGTTAGGGTTTCTATTGCTGTAAAGAGACACCATGACCGCAGCAACTCTTATAAAGAAAACATTTAATTGGGTGGCTTACAGTTCAGAGGTTCAGTCCATTATTGTCATGGAAGCATGCAGGCAGACACGGTGCTGGAGAAGGAGCTGAGAGTTCTACATCTGGATCCACAGGCAGCAGGAAGAGACAGTGAGCCCCTAGGCCTGGCTTGACCTTCTGAAACCTCAAAGCCCTCTCCCAGTGACACACTTTTCCAACAAGGGTGTATATTATTGAAGAATAACGCCACTTCCTATGAGTCTGTGGGGGCCATTTTCATTCAAACCACCATAATACACACACACACACACACACACACACACACACACACGTAATATTGCTGAGACTAGAGGGTAGCTGTAAGCTAGTGGCCAGCCTGGGCTACCTAGCGAGACTTTGTCTCAAAACAAAACTTTATTTTTATCTTAATCTACTTTTTCAAAGTTCCAAGTTCTCAGAGCCTTGTGACTAGAGGGGTCACTTCTGTACCTTGTCAATGGGGTTTATCTCCATGGGGACCTTATACGGTGGTGGGTGCTTTGGGCTAAGAAGTGAAGAAGTGTGTGTGTGGGCGGTTTTTAGCTGTGTTTGTTGACTGTTGAGGAAGAAGGAGTCTTCTAACCACTCACTACACCATTTTCTTGTCACGTGATCACCTCTCAAGAAGTAAATTGGTAACAGGAGTCTGTCCTGCAATTTTTAAAAAAGCTGTCTTTTTCAAGTGTATGAATGTTTTGCCTGCATGTATGTCTGTATAGCACATACGTGCAGTGCCCTCAGAGACTGGAAGAGAGCATCAGACTCCCTGAGACTGTGGTTACAGATGCTTGTGAGCCACTGTGTGGCTGCTGGGAGCTGAACCTGGGTCCTCTGAAAGAGCCGCCGGTGCTCTAACCACTGAGCCGTCCCTCCAACCCTGTAGCTTGTGTCTTATGTCCCTGTTATGACTTTGTTCCCTACCATAGACTGCAGAGGAGGATGTAGCTGTGAAAGACTGGGTGAGGAATAGCAGAAGCCAGCGGGAGACAGACTTGGGTGGACCAATAGAAAGCAGAAACCCCGCTGGGAAAACCTGTTTGAGAAGATGACTTTGTATTTATTTACTCAGGAAATACTTATGTGATGGCTACCGTAAGTGCACAAAGATGTGCGCATAAACAGGCAGGACTGAGCACTGAACAAGGAAGGCCCCGGGGCTGGTGCCGGGCAGCTCGTATGTCTTTCCAATGTCACCCTCCCCACAGCCTGCAAAGTAAGCCTTCCTTCCCTCCCATCAGAAGGATCAGCATCAGACACAGGAATTTGATAATATTGTCTATGGCCAGCAAGTGGCAGGGCCCTTATCTTCTTCAGCCACGCGTTTGTTCGGTACCCACCAAGAGCCTGCCTGTGCCCAGTACTGTCCTCAGAGATAGTCACACCGAGGGTGACAAGACGGAGCTCTTGCTCCCTCGGGGTTAGGTTGTATTGGGGCAGAAAAGCTTTTTCTTTTTTTGTTTTTTTTTTGAGACAAGGTCTCTCTGTGTATCCCTGGCTATCCTAGAATTTGCTCTGTAGACCAGGCTGGCCTCGCACACAGAGATCCACCTGCCTCTGCCTCCCAAGTGTTGGTGTTAAAGGCATGAGCTGCCACCTCCCAGCTACATTTTTTTTATGGCTCATCAATTATTGGACTGCTTTCTGACAACATGGGTCGTTTGCTCTTAACACATGACATGTCCCGTTGTAAAAACTGTGCATGAATTGGACAATAGTGAGACATGGCAAACACAGTATGTCTTTAAAAGAATTTTTAAATTACTTTTTATGTGTGTGGGTGCTTTGCCTGCATGTATGTATGTGCGCCATGTGCATGCCTGGTGCCTGTGGAGGCCAGAAGAGGGCATTGGATCCCCTAGAACTGGAGTTACAGACGGTTGTGAGTCACCACGTGGGTGATGGGACCAAACCCGGGCACTCTGCAAGAGCAGCCAGTGCTCTTAGCCACTGAGCCACATCTCCAGCCCCCCCAGGTATCTTTAAATAGCCCCGAGTTCTTCCCATCAAATGGTTGCCGTAAGGACTGTCACAGCTCCCTGTCACACGTGTGCACCCTTGTCCACCATCACTACACGCTCAGTCCACAGACGGCGACTGTCTGGAGCAAATGCAGGACTCTTCCGCTGGATCTGTCTTACTGCTTCTTTAGTCAATGAAGGAATCTATTCCCACTAGTCTGTCTGTGGACACAAATATTAAAAGGGAGCTGGGCTCTGCCTTTTTAGAGTCTACCAAGCAAATGTATGTGAACTGTCTGCTCCCCCCTGTAGCCTAGGCAGGAAGACCCGTCACAGCAAGGGTCATCACCCAGGCTGTTGAACTGGAATCGGTGCAGATAGTTCTCGGGGTAGGGGAGGAAAATACCATTTTATTGCTAGCACCAGAGTCTGTGACCTGCACATGTCCTTTGTATAAACAGACACACCAATGCATGCCTTTTTTTCTTCTTATAGCTTTGAGTCTCTACCATGTGTGGTGTGTAGATATCATGACTAAGTCTGGGTACGTAACCTTCTGACATATGCTATATGAATGGCGTGAAAGCTTAATTGGTCCCCCCACATACTGGAGGCCACCCATTCACCACCAGCGGCAATATCAAGGAATTACACACTACAACCTTTTTTATGGTCATCGTATCTGTAAACACTTTGTCTTTGTCCTTGCAGGAAGTTCAGAAAAAGGTATCTCTCTTCAGCCTGCAGGTGGATATGAGTGGGTTGATTCCTGGTCTGGTGTCTACCTTCATACTTTTGTCCGGCAGCGACAACCATGGACGGAAACTCCCCATGGTTCTGTCCTCTCTCGGCTCTCTGGGAACCAACATTTGGCTGTGTGTGCTGTCTTACTTCAGGCTGCCACTCCAACTTCTGATTGCATCCACCTTCGTTGGTGCCCTCTTGGGGAATTACACCACGTTTTGGGGCGCTTGCTTTGCCTACATCGTGGACCAGTGTAAAGAATACAAGCAGAAAATCATTCGAATAGCCATCCTGGATTTTATGCTTGGAGTCGTTACTGGGCTAACGGGTCTGTCATCTGGCTATTTTATCCAAGAACTGGGCTTTGTGTGGTCCTATTTCATCATTGCCGTGGTTCTTATGGTCAACCTGGCCTACATCGCATTCTTCCTCAGGGACCCCATAAGGGAGTCTTCGTCTCAGATTGTCACTATGTCCTGTGGGGAAAACCTCAAGGATCTATTTTACCGGACTTACATGCTCTTTAAAAATGGCTCCAGTAAGCGACGATCTTTGCTCTGTCTGCTGATCTTTACCCTGGTCATTTACTTCTTTGTGATAATTGGCATTTCCCCAATTTTCACACTTTATGAGCTGGGCTCTCCGCTCTGCTGGGATGAGGTTTATATAGGCTACGGTGCAGCTTTGGGCAGTCTCTCCTTTTTGAGCAGTTTCCTCGGCATATGGCTTTTTTCCTACTGCTTGAAGGACCTTTACATCACCTTTATTGGCATCCTGACCACCATGATGGGAATGGTCCTCGCTGCTTTCACCAAGACCACTCTCATGATGTTTTTAGGTGAGTTTACAAATATGTTCGATTTTGTATGGAGTGGGAGGAGGGCATTACACTTAATAGAAAGCTCTCTATGAACCCATTCTATTTCAATTTAAAGCAAACAGCCAGCTTGCCAGAAGTCAGTAATTAAAATGCCAGGTGGAATCATCACGATTTTCCAGATTTGCATATTTGCCAAAAATATGTTGAGGGGCATTCTTGGTGTGACTCAGTTCTTGAGTGTAGCTTTTACTGAAATGAGTGTTCCTTAGAAGGCTGTGTTGGAACAGGAGACGAAACTGTAATGTGGATTTTTGGTCCAAATCAGCTGTTTCTAACCATGGAGGTGTCAAGCCGTCGCCACTGGCTGGAGACACAGTTTGAAGAATCAGAATTAGGCTCGATTTCCACCTCTCCCGCTGGGTGACATTGGCGAGTTCATTCCTCTGAATCCTTTATTTTCTCCTTGTGGGACACACACTGGAAAGCTTCACTCAGGTTTTATAACAAGTCTTGGAGAACTAGGAAGCACCTGGCACAGTGCCTTTTAGACAGTAGGAGCCACATCCCTATTTCACGAGACCACATTAAGTCAACATATGCAAATACTCTGGAAACTATAAATACACTCTTTGCAAAAGCAAATGCCATTATTTTATAGTATGACTAAAAATGATTCTATTAAGAAGCATGACTTAAATCTGATGATGGTGGTGCGCGCCTTTAATCCCAGCATTTGGGAGGCAGAGGCAAAGGAATCTCTGTGAGTTTGAGGCCAGCTTGGTTTACAAAGGGAGTTCCAGGACAGCCAGGGCTACATAGTGATAGTGAGAACCTGTTTCATATAATATGCATTCAATATGCATTTATCATATGTATATATCATGATACATATCACATATATATCATAATTTAAGAACAAAAGCAATTGTGTTCATGAAGTTTCCAGTCAAAAAATGAACCAACAAGACGATAAAGAGCCAGTTTACCGATAAAGGAATCCTTACAGTAGGGAATAAGAGCCCCAAGAATGTAAAGGCCAAAGAACAAAAATTGTATAAACGGAGTTGGAGAGATGGCTCAGTGGTTAAGAGTAGATACTGCCCTTACAGAGGAGCAGAGTTCAGTTCCCTGGCTCACCACCATCTTAACTCCAGGTTCAAGGGATCTAGCGCCCTCTTTTGGTCCCCATGGGCATACACATATACATGGGACACACACATACATGCACACACACAACTAACAAAAATGAAAATAATAAATATTTCTTAAACAGGTAAAAGGTAATTAGAAGTCAAAACTTGATAAATAAATTTTTACATCCTTAGGAAAATAGGCAAATGGGTCTCATCTAGACCAAAACATCCATGAACAATATTTGTAGGACTCAAACCAGAATGCTAGAATAAAGCAAGCTCCAAATGGCCAGTCAGTAGTCTGTTCATTTACTAGGCAAAACTACGGGTAGCTGGATCTTCAGCTAGTGAGTCAGGCTGCTCATAGGAAAGGGTGTTTAGATGAGAGAGCATCCTGACTTGCCCTGATTTGACTACTTATCGGGTCTCCTGTTCATCTCACAGTCAGGATCCCATTCTTCTTCACCTTCATGCCGCTCTCCGTCCTGAGGTCCATGCTGTCAAAGGTGGTCCACTCGACTGAACAAGGTGAGTTGACTCTACAGACTATGACAGATGTTCCGACTTCAGTCTGTGCAATCGATGCTGGCAGCTTCTGAGCCGCCTACAGCCCCCTTTCTGCCTGGGTCTCCTTTTGAAGGAAGTGCTAAGCTTTGGTAGGAAAGCTTTACATTCAGGCAGAGGGGACTCTGCTTAGGGGCCCTGATTTAGAGGGCGTCTCTGGCCTTGTCTCGGCCAGAAGAAGAAAGGAGACCTCAGAGTCAAGGGCTCTCTCCACTGCGAACCTATAGCATTCCCATCCCTGCATTCTGGCCAGCCGGGCCACTCTGGTTCATGTCTACCGAGTGCTTGGATGATCCTCTTCTGTGGACCATGCCCAGACCCCATGTGCCCCCTTTCCACCAAAGAGGGGTCCAATGGGTGACTTCATAGGCAGGTCTGTTCTGAGCTGGGAGTTGGACAGCACCCAGGTGTGTATGCCCAGGAGCGAATGATCCCTGCTGAGGCAGATGGCAAGGGGAAGTCAAAGGGCGTGGGTCGCAGGCTGGGGACAACCCTCTCACCGTTGTCCAGTTTCTGGATGGAACTCTTAAAAAGCCTGGGAATTTTGTGCTTCCATCTGGCCTTCCTCAGTAGAGAGACACATCACACTAATCCCTAGCCGTTTGTTAGCTGCATTCACAACATCTAAATGTAGCTGTCCCTTTATGTCTGACGGGGAAGGTTCCAGAGCCCCTCACAGACACCAACATTCTGAACAAGTTACAGTGGCGTATGTGTGAAATTTTCAGTCAAACTCATCATTTTGCACACTAAACCAAAAAAATGCATGAAAATCACTAAAACAGGTTTAAACTGGATAGTATTTGCATATCATTTACACATAACCCTTAAACTTTAACCTCTCTAGATGACCCCTAATACCTAAGATGAGATAGATTTTGTAAATAGTCATTTTTTTTGTGTTGTTTAGGAAAAAAAAGTCTGTGCATGTTTGGCGCCTAACTGTAGGTTTGGCGGGTGGTCGGCGGAACCTTCAGATGGGAAGCCGGCAGACACAGAGGCCGTTCGTGCTTAGAAGGGGATAGAGTGACGTTCAGTTACACTCTAGCACTGGGTCCCAGAAAGGCTTTCTTCTGGACCTGAATCTGGGGCCAGGCTGGAAACACAGAGCCAAGGGAATTCCATGGAAGGTAATGCAGAGGAACGGGCAGTGTGGAGGCAGCCAGAGAGGTGGCCCAGACAGGCAGAAAAGATACATCATAACCTAGCTCTGTTCTGTTCCTTTGACCAAGTGCTCAGCAAAGTGGCCAGCAAGGAAGCCCCCAAATACAGATGGGAGCAGGGGAGACAAGCGCTCCGGAGGTGCAGGCAAAGAATCGCCACAGGGAGTAGATAAGAACAGCCGCAACTAGATACCGGCACATGGTGCTGGCCTCCCTCAGTAGCCCGCAGATGTCACCAGACTCCAGCACTTTCCTGTCTCGTAGTTTAGCCTTGTGCAGATGTCCTTACATGAGTATTTATGAATCGCTTCTAACAGTGCACTTGCATTTGTGTGAGTTTGGTCAATGCTGAGGAAAACTGCACACTTCAGTCTTAAACTCTTATTATTGGCTCTTGGCCACTCGTCAATGGAAGCTGTGTCCTCTGCGAGCCGTTCATAAACTGTGTCCTAAGGGCTATCTGGAGAGCACTTCGGAATAGAAGGCTCTGAAAGGGTGCCGTGGAGAAACAGACCTTCACCCTCGGCTTCAGTGTTTCTTTGATGGGATACCAACAGAACAGCAACAAAAGAAAAATGATGTGGATAGGGGCGGGGAGATGGCTCCGTGCTTGGGAGTGCTGGCTGCTCTTTCATTGGACCTGAGTTCTGTGCTTGTCCTCCACATCGTCACTCACCACCATCTGTACCTCCAGTGCCAGGGATTCTATACCTTCTTCTGGCTTCCATGAGCACCAGGCATGCCCATGGTGCACACACATAACCTGCAGGCCAATGCTCATACACATAACATAAATCTGAAAATAAGAGTTATCCTGTTCCTACCTCTGAACTCAGAGGTACTTTAGATAGTGGCCACATTTTCATACCTCTGTATATTCTCATCCTTTATTTTTTCTAAATACTTACTTTATGAGAATATGAAGCACTTTAGAGTAATCACGGGAGAAGGGACACCCCACGGAGCCACCAGGCGCCACTTACTCTCTGCTAGCTCCACTCTGACAGTTCAGAGGCTGGGGCATAGCTCAGTGGGAGAGCACACGCTTGAATAACTAGAAGGGAGAGAAAATGGCATTTTGGTAATGTTTCTGAAAAGGCCCGTGTTTTTAACAATCTCGTGTCCTGGACTAGCTGTCTTGCTTTGGCATGGCTCACAAACTCATGCCGAGTATAAATAGGGACACGATCAATCAGGCTGGAGATTTGAGTTGTTTGATTTTCTTTTTTCTTTTCTTTTCTTTTCTTTTTTTTTTTTTTGAGTCTAGAAAGTACACTCATTCAGGTGCATTTAATCCAGTTTATCTCTATATCTACTTAACATGTTGGATTGCCCAGGGAAGTCAAGCAACAAGCTAACGCTATTCCACAACAGCATATTGTGTGAGGCAGATGGCACCCGGCCTGACCTATTTATCTTAGAGAACGGATGGGTCCCCTATCCACCAGAACCAGCAATGTACAGTCTGTGTGCCGTAGTACTATTGTTGGGCATAGCAAGGAACACATAAAATATTGTAACTAAGCAAGTCGGAAAGCCAGTTAAACTGACCCCCTGCATCACCGTAAATCACGAAGGCAGTACACGCTGCTGGGTGATGGATGGGTATCGAGTCATGAGTTAAACCTTCACTCATTCATTTGACATGCTTGTTAAGTAGCTGCCACGCACCAGGACAACTGGGCCCTGAGGACATCAGAGCAAGCAGAACAGCTGTGTGCATGGAGCTGACAGAGCTGTGGCTCGGTCGGAAGGAGACACATAAATGTCCCCACAGAATTTCCTGTCCGTAGCTAGATTCCGGTCTAATGGGACGGCTGGAATTGAGGCCGTGGGAGGAGACACTGCAGTCTCCAAATGAGTCAGCTGGTGGTACCTGCATCAGCTTTCCGCTGTAGACATCGGAGCTACCTGCATCAGCTTTCCGCTGTAGACATCGGAGCTTAGCTATTTGGGGTCTCCACCATCTCTCCCTTCAAGTCCACAGGGAGCACCTCGCCTCAGATTCTTTCTTCATCTGCAAAATGGGTTGGTTACTTCTCAGGGTTTTGTTGTTGCTGGAGACAGGCTCTCAAGCTAAGAATGACCTTGAAATTCTGACTCGCCTGCCTTTGCCTCCGGAGTGTTGGGATTACAAGTGTGTGCCACCACACCTGTTTTGTGCTGTGCTGGGGGGATTGAACCCCGGGTTTCTCTGTGTGTAACCCTGGCTGTCATGGAACTCACTCTGTAGACCAGGCTGGCCTCGAACTCACAGAGCTCTGCCTGCCGCTGCCTCCAGAGTGCTGGGATTACAGGCGTGCGCCACCACCAACCAGCTCCAGGACCGTTTTCAAGGTTGTTTTGTAATTCCTCTTGTTGTTTTGTAATTCCGCCTTTTTCCTTTGCTTCCCCCCTCCACACCCCAGGTGCGTTGTTCGCTTGCATAGCTTTCCTAGAAACACTGAGTGGAGTCGCTGCGACCTCGGCTTACAATGGCATTTATTCAGCCACTGTCGCTTGGTACCCTGGCTTTATTTTTCTGCTGTCTGCCGGCCTCCTCATCCTCCCAGTCATCAGTCTATGGTAGGTATCTCATCGTTTTACCAAAGGGCATATGGGTTAAATGAATCTTCTAACTCTGTGTGCAAAACGACACAGATTCTTGACATTTGCCTGGGAGGATGCTTTGCTAGAGAATTATTGGTCATGAATACACCTGTCAGTTTGAGACCTTAGAATGAGAGTGTCATTGGCCATCGAGAACTAACGGGGAATGGCCTTAAGTCACAGGTGTATGGAAGGCATTTAATGGGGACTCTTAAGAATAGTATCTTGGGGGTGTAGGAGAGAGAAAAACTCGTTTATTTGATTAATTTTAGAACAGTATACATAATGAGTCGGTGAAGTTCAAAATGCCAGGATATGCCTGTTACATAGAGCTTGCATAGTTTATTAAAAGCCAGGTATGGCTGGAAAGGACAGAAGCTTGGTGACTTACGGATCTCTTAGCCCCTTCCCAATGCTTGTTTGCTTTTGCAGGGCTGTCAAGTGCGTTGGCTGGGAAGAGGGGAGCTACACAATGTTCGTCCCGGAGGAGCCGCTGGAGCACACGTCAGACTGACGACAGTCGGCAGGAATGCACAGGTCATACCCAGGACGCCAGGACACACAGCCCACAACTAGTATTTCATTCGCAATCTGGGTCAAAAGGTCCTTTTTCCTAAACAGAGCGAGCTGTGAGGCAGCGTCTGGGTCTGCTGTCTCTGGGTCTGCCTATCACCCCGTGTTCTTCAGTAGAGCAAAGACCAGCCCTGGCGCCTCCTCACCTCTGCTGGGACCAGAGAAAGTGGAGCGCAGAGGAGGCCTCAGGAAACTGCAATAAGACTTGAAGCAATAATCTAACTGACATGCTCCAGCCTCTCAGGTGGAAACCAAGGAGTCCATCTGCACAGTGGGCTTCTGACTGCTCAGGGATTTTGAAGACATAACGAAGAACTTTGATGCTGAATAATCACTGACAGGAAAATAATGTTCCAGGCATTAATAATTCTTCCTATACTTGACTGATGCTGGAAGATCCTATCAAGGCTCTACTGATGGATGCAAAAATCCTTGAAGAAAAGCACTTTTTAAAATATGTATTTTTCACTTTTCCTAACATTTTAATTCAGTGACAAGCTTGGTTTTTATATGTAATGGGGGAGTGAGTACAAATTCATATTATAAAGAAAACGATCTTAAATTTTAAAACTGAGCAGGCAGCTCACTGTGTATAAAGTCAGTCATACCTTGCAGCCTGCTCTCACTCCCTGGCTGGGTAGAAGGCTGTCATGGCCCACAAACCCTGGCTGGCTTTCCACCCTCTGATTGTTCTTACCTTCCTCTAGCTCAGGCTCCACACTGTGCCGAGAAGGATGCTTCTAAAACACAGATCTTTTCTTTTCCAGCTAGAATCCTTCAGCAACTGTTGCTCATAGGAAAATAATTAGGCAAGCATGTGACCACAGCCTGATCCTGCCCCATCCAGTGTCACACCACATTACACCTATGCTTATTTCCACCCTCGACCCCCAAACACCGTGTCTCCTTTTTACACACTGTTCATCTGTCCTTCCTCTCCCATTTCATTAAAACTGCCATATGTCAGCCAAAACACTGCTTTCCCAGTGCAGCCAGGGTTCTTGACATTTATTACCCATCCCTCAATCTCTTCAGGGCTTCCCTTTGTATGAACAAGAACTCTATCTAGGGGCTGGAGAGATGGCTCAGTGGTTAAGAGCTCTGCCTGCTCTTCTAGAGGTCCTGAGTTCAATTCCCAGCAACCACATGGTGGCTCACAACCATCTCTAGTGGGATCTGATGCCCCCTTCTGGCATAAAGTTGTACATGCAGATAAAACACTCATACATAAATAAATAATAAAATTTTTTAAAAAAGGAATTCCATCTAGCATTTTCCACTGACGTTTTTTAAACATTTATTTTTATGTGTATGAATGTTTGCACAGTATGTCTCTGCACCACGTGCATGCAGTGCCTAGAGTCCAGAAGTTGTGTCTCCTGGAACTGGAGTTACAGATGCTTGTGAGCCTTCATGTGGGTGCTAGGACTGAACCCAGGTCCTCTGCAAAAGCAGCCAGTGCTCTTAACCACTGCGCCATCTCTCCAGCCCGAGATTATATTTGCTCCCCCGACAGGTCTTCTTGAGGACAGGAGCAGCCTTTGCTCATTGCATGCTCAATGTTGCGGGACTAAATTTGATGACTACAATTTCCTTGCTTTTATTTGTAAGAACTGTTCAAAGTTACAGCTTTAATGGTTTATGGAGTCGCCACTCCCTACGGTTACTAAGCTCAACCTGCAAACAGACTGAAAAGTGCTGGGCTGTGCACCTTTCAAGTTGATTATTTTGTTTCCAGGGGTTATTCACACCTTCCATTTTTCTTTTCTTTTCCTGTGTGTGCAGGTGCGTGTGTACGTGTTTGTGCCTGTGGAGACCACGAGGTAACTGGCTGTTGTTTCTCAGACACCACCTACTCTGGTGTCTTGAGAATTGTCTCTGTCTGTCTCCTCTCCAAGGAGCCTGGGCTGGCTGGCCAGTGAGTCTCCACCTCCCCAGAGTTGGGACTCCAAGTCACACTGCCGGGCTGGCTTTTAATATGAGTTCTGAGGGACTGAACTCAGGGCTTCCTGTTGGCAAGGCAAGCACTGTTACTGACTGAGCTCTGTCCCAGCCCCTTTTCCACATTTTTCTTTTTCTTCCTTTCTTCCTTTCTTCCTTTCTTCCTTTCTTCCTTTCTTCCTTCCTTCCTTCCTTCCTTCCTTCCTTCCTTCCTTCCTTCCTTCCTTTCTTTCTTTCTTTCTTTCCTTCCTCTCCCCTCCCCTCCCCTCCCCTCTCCTCCTCCCTCCCTCCCTCTCTCTCTTTAAATTTAACTTCCTTATTGATTCTTTGGGAGTTTCACATCATGCACCCCAATTCCACTCACCTCCTGTAGCACAAATTCTATCTGGTCTTTATAATAAAAACCCAGAGTCGGATGTCAGGGTGCAAGCTGAAAGAACAGAGCAGCCAGCCACTAGAAAGACTTCTTACCTCCAGGAATCCTCAGACTGAAAGGGGTTGAGCTCCTGTCTCCACCCTGCCTTATCACTTCCTCTCTCCACTCAGCTCTATCACTTCCTGTTTCCTCCTCCCAAGTGCTTTGATTAAAGGTGTGTGCCACCACTGCCTGGCCTCTAGTGGCTAGCTCTGCACTCTGATCTCCAGGCAAGCTTTATTTGTTAAAGCACAAACAAAATACCAACATATTTCCCCCTTTTTGTCTAAAATAAAAAGAATATAATAATTCATACAAGTAAAACTATATATAATAAGTACAATAACCATATAATATATATAAGCAATAATTACATTAACAATGTCTAGACCATTAACAATTGACAAATTCAGAGAAAATATTCCGTATCTATCCTATCTTGGTGAGTCCAAAAGTTTGTACCTAATTTACTTTCTATTCTAATTTTCAGTACCAAAACTATCTTTTAATGTCTCTCAACCTTATACACTTCATACCTCTTTAGTGAATTTCTTTTCTGAGTCTGGTAACAAGGAAAACTATAACTATAAAATCTTCAATTCCATCAGAGACCTGAAAAGGAAATAATACTATCCGAGTAAACAGGAAGTGCAAGCAAGCAACTTCTAAAAAATGTGAGAAATGACAGAAACAGCTGGCTGCCTGAACAGTCACCCAAGTTTCCTCTGTAACACTGGGGCATCCATCCTCAGCCCACTGGCCTAGCATATCTGACCGCACAGTCAGCACCTCCCAGCCCCCCATTCCCTCCCCTCACCCCTGCAGTGCAGCCATACAAAAGAAAACAAAAAACAAAGCGAGCAAACAAAAACAAGAACAAACTAAACAAGAAAAACGAAAAACCTCTTCGCTTTCCCTTCTCCAACACCTCCTCATTCGCCCTGGTCCTCTACCACATTTCAGAGTTGTGCGTAATGACACAGATGTCATGATGTTTCCTATAATCTGAGAAAAAGCACTTGATGGTTTACAAAGTCCATTCTCTACCAACCTGTTATAGTCTTAGTCATTTCCCACACGTGACAGACGAGGAAGGGAAGTCTCGGGGACATTTGGGTGGACTGTGATCCTTCTACGATAGCAGTCTATGCAGACGGCCTGGACGCTAAGATGAACACTAAGACGTGTCAGTCACTGCTGGGGCGTGCATGCTCGTATCCAAAAGCAAGAACTGCACAATGAGCAGCGTGAAGAACCCATGAAAACCGCATCAGCAGGGATGGGGGTGTGCTCAGTGGCAGGGCACTTGCCTACCGGGTGCAAGGCCCTGTATTGGATCCCAACACTGCAAATGGGCAAAAATGCATCCCCACAACCTTAGCTGTCCTCACCTCAGCAGTCAGTCCACAGTGACTACCTGTTTTCAAGAGTAGACATGATTTTTTTTAAAGTCACAACTCTCATCTTTATTTCTTAAAATGTATTTATTATTTATGTGCATTGGTTTTTGCCTGCATGTATGTATGTCTGTGTGAGGGTGTCAGATCCCCAAAATTGGAGTTAGAGTTTTGAGTTGTCATGTGGGTGCTGGGAATTGAACCCAGGTCCTCTTGAATAGTAGCCAGTTCTCTTAACCACTGAGCCAGTCTTCCAGCCCTCTATAGGATGATCTTAATACACCTAAGGGTCAATAGATAGCTTCTTGGATGAACAGAAACCTACGTTTAGTGTAGAGTTTTGAGGGATTCGACTGCTAGTCCAGGGTCAAAAATAGATCATGAGTAAATGCAGCCACCTCCAACATGTCTGTCTGAAGAGGCATTAAATATGATGCTGAGGTTTGAGATACAGAGTTGATGGAATGGGGGAATATACTCAGATGGAAATGAAGTTCACAGTCAAAGCAGAAGAGTTGGGGTAGCGGGTGTTAATGGAGCTGGGAAACATGAGAGAGACAAGTATGTTTTTCCCATGTATTGACTCTAGATTTACATGTGAAAAAGAGGAAGTATTTGAATGTAGGCAGGGAGAGGAGGGGGCAAGACAAGAATATGAAAGACTCTGAGACACTGCACTAAATGTCATGATCAAACCTACCATCTTAAAACGTGTCAATACGCAAATAGTACAAATTTTACAAGGAGCTGGGTGGTGGTGGTGCACACCTTTAATCCTAGCACTCAAGAGGCAGAGGCAGGTGGATCTGAGTTCAAGGCCAGCCTAGGCTACAGAGTGAGTTCTAGGACAGCCAGGGCTATGCAGAGAAACCCTGTCTCAAAAAATAGGGGCTGAAGAGATGGCTCAGAGGTTAAGAGGACCTGGGTTCAATTCCCAGCACTCTATGTTCACAGCTCTATGGTCATGACCATCTGTAACTTGGTGCAGGGGATCCATCACTCTCTTCTGGCCTCCTCAGGTACTGCACACACATGGTGCACATACACACAAACAGGCAATCACTCATACATACCAAAGGAAGAAAATGCTCCTGTGGTTCAGCAGGAGAGAAAAAGGTGGGTTGTCTCACATCTCCTGAACAGGCTCTTGTCTTCGGAGAGGAACACTTGTTTCCAGGATATGACCACCCAACACTCACATCATAATTGTACAACCACCCATGACTTTCTTCACAATCTTTTCATCCATCTCTCTACAGCACCATTTTAGCTCAATGGCTTGTAACCTATGCTCAAAGTTCAAAAATATGAATGTCTTGCCTTGAGACCCAGTCACAAGATTTTATTCCAAGATATTGCAGCGACTGCTTTAGTTTATTACCATCTGTTACCTATTGCTGTTGACCTTTTACTTTGTAAATTAATTATCAACTAATGTACTTTGTAAATTAATAATAATCTTTTAATTTGTAAATTATCACAGGCATAGTTTTTGGGGAAAAACAGAGTTAGGTAATGTCCTCAGTTCAGACATCCACTAGAGGTCCTGGAATGGGTCTCCATGGACCAAGGGACTGATGGGTCACTAAATGAAGAGCTTGATAACAAGGGTAGATAGAGCCTTGGGCTCAGTGTTCTTCTAAAGATGCCTTGCTCTGGATATCTAAATTCAGTAGAGCCCCATGGGCTCTTGCAATCTCCTTTGAAGCTAACCCAGGGCTGGCGAGATGGTTCCTCGGGAAAGCGTGCTTGCCAAGACCCGGAAGGCAGGAGAGGACTGACTCCTACAAGCTGTCCTCTGGCCTCCACAGACGCTGTGGCACACACATAAGCAGCAATACATTTAAAAGATGTTTTTGAGAACTTCATGCAGTATGTTTTGATCAAACTCAACACCCCCAAATTCCTCCCCAGACCTACTGTCTCCACCCTTACCTCCCTACCCAACCAACTTCAGGCTTGTTTGCTTGATTTAAACCCTTGGAGTTCAATGTTTCCCAGCTACTCTTGGGAGTAGAGTCCGCCCTGGAGTGTGGTGCTCCCAGCAGGGGCCACACCCCACCTACCTCCACACCAGGATCGTCTGTCTGACTTGAGTTGGCACAGGCCTGTTCATGCTTCCCAGTTCCTGTGCACAACTGCACCGTTTTGTCCAGAAACACTGTTTCTTTCCTTGAAGATGTCAGAGGTGGTGGGCACGACCCCCAGTAAAAATAAAGGGGGGCCACACCCACTGCGTAGGGACTAATGAAAAGGCAGCAAGCCTAGCTGCAGTTCTGGGGCAGGAGTGAACACACGTGTACGGTCAAAGGGAAATGTCGTGTGCTAAACCCCGGTTCCGAGTGCTTCTCGCACTCCTATTGTGTAAGCTTCTCCTTTATCCCGAATGCTATGGTGAATTTTAATCAAATACTAACACTGTGGTCCTCGCTCCCCCAACCTCAATTCCCCTGAGGGAGAGGGGCTGTGAGTTAATAATGAGCTTCCACAGAAATCCCTCAGGAGCAACTGATGCTCTCAGCCCCTTCCTCCCGGCTGTTTATCTGTCCTTCAGGATGTCCTTTTTAGCAAAGGACAGTATTGTGAGCTATGCTTGCAAATCACTGAACCTGAGGGGGCACAGGAAACCGTTTGTACCCGGTCTGTCGTCAGCACAACCCACAGTGGAGTACTCACGATCGATGCCTGACTCGGGGCAGTGTTATAGGACAGAGCCCTTACCTGGCCCTAACTCCTTGTCGACACTCAAAAAAGAGTGGAATTACAGGACAGCCTGTCAGTGTATGCCAGAGAATCACTCGGTGTTGGAAGTACTGAGTACAGAGCCCTTTTCCAGCAGATCTGGAACCTTCCCGTAAAGAGCCTTGAACGTGAAGACTGGTAATCAGAAGCAGAACGGTAGCAAGAAAAACATGAAACCGTTCTCCAACACCGTCAGAGCATCTAAGAGGCAAACTGCAGAGGGATATGCGAATTTCAAGGAACCCAAATGATGTCCCAACTCCAAACAAGCACCGTGGACTCCAGACTGGGATCCACCAGCACACTTTGCTTCTCAGCTTTAGACTATTCATCGGCAGCTTTCTCAGGACACAGAAGGCTACCATTTTAATATAAATGAGGAGTCTTCAATGCAGGGTGAGCCAGGCGGCAGTGGCGGGTGGTGATGGTGCACACCTTTAATCCCAGCACTCAGGAGGCAGAGGCAGGCGGATCTCTGAGTTCGAGACCAGCCTGGTCTACAGAGTGAGTTGCAGGACAGCCAGTTGCAGGACACAGAGAAACTCATGTCTTGAAAAACAAAACAAAAATAAATAAAAACCAAGACATTCTTTGTGTCATTTGACCACAAACTAACACAACTTGTGCACTGCACACGTCCAGCTGCACTCCCCATTTCATCCATCCGTCCACGCCAGCAGCAGCAGCCCAGACTAAAAGTTGACACCCAAACTATCTGCAGACATTGTATTCCTAAAAAGTCAATAACCAAAATATGTCAGAACTAGTAAAAAAAAAAAAAATGATCCATTTACTAATGTTCTGAAAAATTTGGGGGTGGGGGTGGGTTGTTTTTAGACAAGGTCTCACTATATATCTCTGACTGGTCTGGACCTACATACACACCAGGCTGGCCTCAAACTCAGAGATCCCCCTGCCTCTGCCTCCCCGGTGCTGTGATTAAAGGTGTGCGCCACTAGTTTTTATAGACCATGAACAATATTTTTAAGAACCATCATGCTGAAATTATATTTAAGTAAAGTAGTATGGAATTACTCATGGATGTAAAATAGGAATATTCTAATAATTTAAAAACAAGTTAGTATCTTGATATGTAACTTAGGGGCATACTTTTCTTCAACAGAACATTGCTTGGTAATCTAAAATACAAAGTAAATCTATGAAAGACAATAGTTCAATCTACATGCCCTGGTTGCTCTAATTTCTCATATAAAGACCCAACTCTCTCAACTTCAACTCTTCAGCATGCGAGAGTACTTAGCTGTAACTCGAAGGTGCAAGCACCACGCTACAGGGCAGAGCTGCCTCGGCCCTGGGTCTGCCACCCAACCTGGTCACAAATGTGAAGGCGGCCCGGGAACTCCGCAGGCTCCAATACTGATACCGAGCCAGGCGGTGGCGCACGCCTTTCATCCCGGCACCCGGGAGGCAGAGGCAGGCGGAGCTCTGTGAGTTCGAGGCCAGCCTGCGCTAGATAAGACTAGCTAGAGAGACTGTCTCAAAAAACAAAAAAATAAAACAAAAACACCCAACAAAAACTCTATCTAAAATAAAGTTTACAGAAAGAGGAGAAAGCAGGCTGAACCGGACGCTGTGGAGTTGTAACATTTAGGACAAACACGTTTTCAGAACCCGGGAACCTGGGCTTTGCTGTAGCCTGAGCTCAGAAGCCACCTGCAGGCTTTCAACCAACTCACGAGCCCACACTAAAGAGCCAGCATTGCAAATGACCGAGCAATCTCGTCAGTACTTTAATGTGTACGTCAGACTGAGGGAGGCAGCTACACATTGCTCTTCCGTGGTTCCCGCACGGCGCCCGCTCTACAGCAAGCCCAGCTTGTACTCCACCATCAAGTGTGGCTCGCCCATCAGTTCACTCTGGGATGGATCTGCAAAGAAACAAAAACAGATTCCGGAAATGACTCTTCAGACACGGATGCTAAGGTCCGGGGTCAGCATATGAGAATCTGTGACAGTCAAAACCAACCCAGTGTGACAACAGGCAGGCTGTCTGAGGCTGGAGTGGAGGGAACTTGGGGTGTGCAATAAAACAATTCTATATCTTGATTGAGGGGATCCAGCTACACACATCTGTAAAGGACAGAACTGTCCACCTAAAAATGGGTCCATCCAATAGCATATCAATCCTATCTCAATGTAAGTGACTTAAAAAGAAAAAAAAAAAAACAGGGCTGGAGAGATGGCTCAGCAGTTAAGAGCACTGGCTGCTCTTCCAGAGGACCCAGGTTCAATTCCCAGAACCCACATGGAGGCTCAGAACTGTCTGTAACTCCCACTGTAGGGGATCTGGCACCCTCCTCACACAGACATACATACATACATACATACAGGCAAAACACCAATGCATATAAATCTCTCTCTTTTCTTTTCTTTTTTATTTTTTTGGAGACAGGGTTTCCCTGTGTAGCCCTAGCTGTCCTAGAACTCACTCTGTAGACAAGGCTGGCCTTGAACCCACAGAGATTCTCCTGCCTCTGCCTCTTGAGTGCTGGGAATAAAGGTGTGTGCCACCACAGCCCAGCTATAAATAAATCTTTAAAAAGGAAAGAAAACAATTTTTTTTCCCAAAGTTCTGGTGCTTCTGATGGCTTTTCACCTAAGAACTATTTACATTGCAAAAACTTTTTTTTTTAATGATTTATTTTATGTGCATTGGTATTATGCCTGCATGTATGTCTGTGTGAGGGTGTCAGATCCCCTGGAGCTGGAGTGACTGACAGTTGTGATCGGCCATATGGGTCTTGGGAACTGAACTCAGGTCCTCTGGAATAGCAGCCAGAGCTCTTAACCACTGAACCTTTCTCTAGCCTCTGCAAAAACATTTTATCTTTTCCATCTTCTGCCCATCACAGACACACAACAGAAACCAGAATTCTAAAGCACCTTAAACCCTGCCATCAGAGTTAGAGACTGGAAAGCTGTACTGGACTGTGGCAAGGCACTGAAAGCCTTTGACAAACCCTGTCCACCGGGCTCCCTGGACGGCCTCCACCCTCTCACCACCCACCGAGCTCAATGCACCAAACCTACAGTGTGCACAATGAGAAACTGGCGGATGCGGGGCGGAGGGGGCTTTGTGAAGCAGTGGAGTCCGAGTATGCCCACTAGTTAGCTTTCCGCTCCACCTCGGAACGCGCTGACTCTAAGGGTCAGTCATCACTCACTGAAACAGGACGCACCCAGCAGCAAGGCATCAGCCCGCAAGTTAGGAGATGTACGCTGAGCTCCCATGAGACACTAGAAGCCTTCCCTGGAGTGGGAGTTCACTCACCGTAAGGGGGTGGGGGCACCTCGAAAAGCCCAGTTTTAACTTCCCTGGTGCTGTCATAAAATGCACAGAACCGAGCTGGCCAACACTCCCTGAGGAGACCAAGCTGCAGTCGGGGCAGTGCAGGGAAGCGGGGTGTGCCGGAGGCCACTCACTGATGAACAAGAAAGACTTGTTCATCAAGGAAGTGCTATGCAATGAATTAATGCAGCGCAGGGAGACACCAGGTAGCCATGGCAGTCCTCAGCTACCCCATCTGTGCATGCACAGTTCCCAACCAAGGAACGCCACCCTAAGCGCACTACAGCGGTCTCACCACGGTGGACGTGAGCTCCCTCCACAGGGGACCTTTGCAGCTAACTTCTACCTCACAGAGAGAGGCAGAGAATGAACATAAAAAAGACGTTCTCAAGCTCATTTCGTGATCTTCTGAGACATGAAATAGGGCCGGGAATAAATACAAATGACTGACCAGCCTGATTTCCCTGGGGACAGTGACTGCTGTCTGCTGTCACTCTGTTCAGTATAGGTGCCGTAAGTGTTGAGTGTCACTCACCGTTAAGAATATCCTCAAAACCAATGGTCTCTTCATTGCCCCTCAGAATATCCAGGGACAGGTTTGAGCTTGGAAGGAATGGAAGGCGCTGGACCTGGGGGAGAAGAGAAAAGGGCAGCCTCAGAAAAATCGAGGGAAAGGCAGACTGCGTGCCGTAATCCCATGCTCTTCCGCCCTCTATCTGAAAAATTTACTAATAACTAAGTGAAAGTGCCATTTAGCCAGTGGGGAAAAATAATTTACATTTTAGGTACAGACGAAGTTTTAAAGTGTTTGGCACTGGAACAGTAACCTGCCACATCTGCCTGTGTTTATTCCACTAACTAACCCACCATGTCTACCTGTGTTTAT